CCCCCGCTCCCCTGCTGGCACCTGGAGGGAGGAGGGGCACTTGGGTGGTGGGGCCCCAGGGAGGGGCGGGCCGCCTTCCCAGCCCTGCCAGGTGCCACCCACAGGCTGCTCACCGCAAAGGGGCCCCTGGGGGCTCTTCCCTGCGCCACCCCAGCTCATGCCCGGCGTTCCAAGCCCTGCAGAGCTCTGGCCTGGCCCGAGTCCCAGCAGCTGTGGCGCTTGGCTCTCTGGGACCGGAAAGACACGCTGTGCCCACATGTTCCAAGGCCCACCTGTGCCCTCAGGCTGCGGTCTGAGAGCAAAGGCGCCCCTGCATGCCCGGCGCTGCACCCCAAGGTATCCCTCTCCCCACCTGACCCTCACGATGGCCGGGGTGCAGTGTGACGGCCCCCCCTGCCTCAGTCAGCAGCAGTTTATGGGGCACCGGCTGTGTGCAGACGCGAGGAGAGGCCTCGGGCCCAGCAGAGGCCTGCTCTCTTGGAGCGCATCTTACAAATGAGGAAACGACGCCCTGAGCAGCCCTGAGTGGCTGGAGGTCACACGGCTGGATTCTAATCCAGGTCAGACCTGGAAGTCACACTTGCCCCTCTCTGGGCCTCAGTCTCCTTGCCTGTAAAATGGGCACGATGGAGCCTCCAGGGCTGTGAGGACATGAGACACGGCGTGAACCGTGCAGCGGCCCCGCCAGCAGAGATCATGCCGCCGCTGCCTCCTGAGCTGCCCCTGCCCGGGGAAGTGGAGGAGCACCTCTCCCCGCAACCCCCAAGTCCTGACTCCACATACACACTCCTCCGTGTCCCCACACCAGTCACACCCCAGCATCCCGCGCACGTGTGATCACGTGTGATCATGTTTCCCTCTGCCTGGAATCCCTTCCACTCTCGGGGCCGTGGCACCACAGCTCCCGTGGACTGGGCACCTTTCACACCAAGCCCCCGCAGCCCCACGTGGAATCCACGACGGTCACCCCATCTCCGGGAACGGCAGTGCAGACCGGGGGCTGGCGGGGAGGAGATGGAGGTCCTGGGCACACACAGCCGCCCAGCAGCAGGGTGCGCCTCCAACCACTGCCCCACACTGCCCGCCACCAGCCTGCCCAGCCCACAGCCCAGACCGAGGACCCTCATCCACTCCCGCGGGCTGGCTCCCGGCAATGCCTCCCTCGTTCCAGATGCGGCAGGGTCCCTGGGGGCAGGCCCGGTCTGGGTCTCCCTGGGGTCCCGGTCCCACCCAGGCCAGGCATGGAGAAGGGCCCGGGGAGATGCTGTGGCGGAGTCATTGGTCAGGGGGCGGGGTCTGGCCTGGCCTTCAGGG